GGGGTCTCCAGCCGATTACTTGGAGTGGGAGTCGAAATTGGATATGTAATTTTGACTACTATCCACATGCCGAGCCAAAGAAGGTACAAATTGCTACTCTTGAATTCACGGAGAATGCTTTAAATTGGTGGAATCAATTGGTGCAAACAAGAAGAAGAAACTTGGAAGGGCCGATCAATACTTGGTTAGGTCTAAAGAGTTACATGAGGAAGAGGTTTGTTCCAAGCTTTTACACTAATGGTCTCTACCAAGAGTTGCAATCTTTGAGGCAAGGAACTAGGAGTGTTGATGAATACTACTCCGAGATGATGTTGTTGATGTCAAGGGCCGAGATCGATGAAGCTCCACAAGCTACTATAGCTAGATTATTGGCGGGATTGAATAGAGAAATTCATGATATCGTGGAGATGCAACAACACTATGAGGTTGAGGAATTGCTTCAACATGCCTTGAAGGCCGAGAGCCAAATAAAAAGGAATAAGAAAAGTTTTACATCATCATCATCAAGCTCGTGGAAAACTCCAATGAAGAAGGATGACAAGTCATCCAAGGAAAAGGAGTCTGCGCAAAAGGTTATGACCCCTAAAACCGATTCTAAATCTTCATCTAGCTCATCTTCTAAAAGCTATGTAAAGTGTTTCAAGTGTCAAGGATATGGACACTTTGCAAGAGATTGCGTTAACAAGAAGGTCATGCTTACTAATGACAATGGCGAGATTGTAAGTGAAGATGAATATATTGCGCTTGGATCAAGTGGTGATGGAGATGATGAAGAAGATGCGCATGACGATAGTGATGATGGTGACGGTTTTGCACTTAGAAGTTTAGTGGCTAGGAGAACTTTGAGTGCTTATGTGAAAGATGATGTGAACACCAAAGGGAGAACTTGTTTCATACTAGGATGTATGCGAATGGAAGCCTAGTAGTGTGATTATTGATGGTGGGAGTTGTACAAACATAGCTAGTGTTTATTTGGTGAAGGAGATGCAATTACCCACTACAAGACACCCTAAGCCTTATAGTTTGGGTTGGATCAACGATAAGGAGGAAATTAGGGTTAACAAACAAGTTTTAGTTTCTCTTTGTTTGGGCAGGTACAAAGGAGATGTATTGTGCGATATCTTACCCATGCAAGCATGCCATGTACTACTTGGACGACCATGGCAATATAACAACAAAGTTCAACATGATGGTGAGACGAACCAATATACTCTCATGTGTGGTAAGAAGCCCTTTACTTTTATTCGGTTATCACCTCAAGAGGCTTTAAAAGATCAATTGAAATTGAAAAAGGATTTTGCTAAGCTAGATTCGGAATTTAGGGCTAAAGAGAAGACTAATCATGCTAATTTAGATAAGAATTGCGATATAGTCAAGCATGCTAGTTCTAAAAAGGTTAATAAGGAGTGTATGTTAGCTACTAAGAGTGAGATTAAAGAAGTCTTGAATGATAATTCTGTTTTGATCTTGCTTTTGCTTAAATATACACTTGTGAGCACTAACCACTTGGAAAGCGAGCTTCCAAACAACATTGTTTCTCTTTTGAGTGATTATGTAGATGTGTTTCCTGAGGAGATTCCTAGTGGTTTACCACCAATTAGGGGGATTGAACATCAAATCGACTTCATCCCTGGGGCGCAAATTCCAAATAAGCCAGCTTATAGGACAAATCCTGATGAAACAAAGGAATTAGAGAAGCAAGTTGGAGATCTACTTCAAAAAGGGTTCGTGCGTGAGAGCCTTTCTCCATGTGCCGTTCCTGTGTTGCTTGTTCCTAAGAAAGATGGGACTTGGAGAATGTGTGTCGATTGTAGGGCAATAAACAACATCACGGTAAAGTATCGTCACCCTATTCCTAGATTAGATGATATGCTTGATGAATTGCATGGTGCTTGCTTATTTTCTAAGATTGATCTTAAGAGTGGCTATCATCAAATTCGCATGAAAGAGGGTGATGAATGGAAAACTGCCTTTAAAACTAAATTAGGGTTGTATGAATGGTTAGTTATGCCTTTTGGATTGACTAATGCACCTAGTACATTCATGGGATTAATGAATCATGTTTTAAGAGTTGGTAAGTTGGTAAGTTTGTTGTTGTTTATTTTGATGATATACTTGTGTATAGCCGAAACCTTGATGAGCATGTTAGGCATCTAAGATGTGTGTTAGATGTACTTAGGGTTGAGAAATTATATGCTAACCTTAAGAAGTGCACCTTTTGCACAAACAAGCTTGTTTTTCTTGGTTTTGTGGTTTCATCGCAAGGTATAGAGGTTGATGAGGAAAAGATCAAGGCAATTAAAGAATGGCCAACACCCACCAACGTTGGACAAGTGAGATCTTTTCATGGACTCGTCGGATTCTATAGGAGGTTTGTTAAGGATTTTAGCACCTTAGTCGCCCCTATTACAAGTGTAATGAAGAAGAATGCACCATTCAAGTGGGGAGATGAACAACAAGAAGCATTTGAGACGTTGAAGGATAAACTAACTAATGCTCCTTTGCTTGTTTTACCTAACTTTAACAATACTTTTGAGATTGAATGTGATGCATCAGGGGTTGGAATTGGAGCTGTTTAATGCAAGGGTGGGAACGCCCGTCGCATACTTTAGTGAGAAATTGATGGGGCTGCATTGAACTATCCAACCTATGATTAAAGAGTTGTATGCTCTTGTGAGGGCGTTGCAAACTTGGCTACACTACCTTTGGACCTAAAGAATTCGTGATTCATACGGATCATGAGAGCTTGAAGTATTTAAGAGGCCAACAAAAGCTAAACAAGAGGCATGCTAAGTGGAGTGAGTTCATCGAGAGCTTTCCTTATGTTGTGCGATACAAACAAGGTAAGGAGAATGTGGTAGCCGATGCGTTATCAAGGAGGTATGTCTTACTTTCCATGCTTGATTCTAAGTTTCTTGGTTTTGAGTATATTAAGGAATTATATGCTAGTGATGTTTATTTTAGTGAAATATTTAAAGCATGTGAAAATTCTGGATTTGGAAAGTATTATAAGCATGATGGATTTTTGTTTAAGGAATCTAGATTGTGTGTGCCTTCTTGCTCTTTGCGCATATTGCTCTTGAGGGAAAAGCATGAAGGGGGTTTAATGGGTCACTTTGGAGTTGATAGAACATATGATATATTGCATGAACACTTCTTTTGGCCTAAGATGTGACATGATGTAGGAAAATATGTTGCTAGTTGCATTGATTGTTTGCAAGCTAAATCTACATCTAAACCGCATGGATTATACACTCCTTTGCCTATTCCTCATGAACCATGGACTCATATTAGCATGGACTTTGTGTTAGGTTTACCTCGTTCTAGGAGAGGTAAAGATTCTATCTTTGTGGTTGTTGATAGGTTTTCTAAGATGGCTCACTTTATTGCATGTACTAAAACGGATGATGCCATTAATGTAGCTAATTTGTTCTTTAAGGAAATTGTTAGACTACATGGAATGCCTAGAACGATTGTAAGTGATAGAGATGCTAAGTTCTTAAGTCACTTTTGGAGAACTTTATGGGCTAAGTTAGGAACTAAGTTGTTATTTTCTACTACTTGTCATCCTCAAACCGATGGTCAAACCAAGGTAGTTAATAGGACTTTGTCTACTTTGCTTAGGGCTTTAATTAAAAAAAACTTAAGAACTTGGGAGGATTGTCTACCTCATGTCGAATTTGCATATAATCAAAGCATACATAGCACCACTGGATGTTCACCTTTTGAAACTGTGTATGGCTTTAATCCTTTAAACCCATTGGATTTGTTGAGTTTACCTTTGAGTGTGCAAGTCGACATGGATGGACAAAGGAAGGCCGATTATGTTAGAGAACTTCATGCTAGGGTTCAAGCTCAAATTGAGAAGAAGACACAACACTACATGAAGAATGCTAACAAAGGGCGCAAGGAAGTCATCTTTGAACCCGGGGATTGGGTTTGGTTGCATCTAAGGAAGGAGAGGTTCCCTGAAAAGAGAAAGTCTAAGCTCTTACCTCGTGGAGATGGTCCATTCCAAGTCTTGGAGAGGATCAACAACAACGCCTATAAGCTGGATCTTCCTAGTGAATATGGCAATGTAAGTGCTACTTTTAATGTTTCAGACTTATCCTTGTTTGATAGTGATGCAGATTTGAGGACAAATCCTTTTCAAGGGAGAGGGGATGATGCGCCAAGGGCTTATCATGGCTTAGAAGGACACATTGGAGCCAATGAAGATCAAGGAGATGCCATCGATGCTAGCTTGAAGGAGCATGGAGTTGGAGGCGCGAGTGATCGACCATGCGACTTAGAGAAGACCGGCTAACACCGGCCACGCGACTCGGAGATGCCCGGCCATCACCGGCCACGCAACATGGACATGTCCGGCCACAACCGGCCATCGCTTGGCGCACCAACCGGCCACAACCGGACATCGATAGGGCCATTGATGCGCCAAGGGCTTATCATGGCTTAGAAAGACACATTGGAGCCAATGAAGATCATGGAGATGTCATCGATGCTAGCTTGGAGGAGCATGGGGATGGAGGCGCGAGTGACCGGCCACGCGACTTGGAGATGCCCGCGCAACACCGGCCATGCGACATGGAGATGCTCGGCCATCACCGGCCATGCAACATGGCCATGCCCGGTCACACCCGGCCACTTGACTCGGCCTTGCCTGGCCACAACCGGCCACACGATCCTTTGTCTATGCCGTTGGGTCCAATCACAAGGGCTCGGGCTAAAAGGTTTAAGGAAGCTTTGGTGGGTTTTATAAGATCTCATCTTGAAGGATTGAAGACCATTGAAGACTCATTGGGCCGATTTGAAGATCACACAACAAGGAATATTCCAAACGATTCCATGTTGTGCACCATGTTATCCATCGATGAGCATTCAGCTTAATATTGTGTAATTCGGCCATTGGGCCTTTATTCTATCTTAGATTAGTTATTTATTTAGTTTAGAAGACATTGGGTTGGGCCTTGTTTGACTAAGTCCAATCCTTGCTTAATTAAGTTATGTATTTACTTTTCCTAGTAGGACAAGGAGTAGGCTATTTCCTTGTTCCTTCCTTTATGTAATGTTTTCCTTTTAGTTTTAGGAGAAGGGTTATGCGTCCCCTACTACTATATAAAGGGACCATCCCCCTCTTGTAAAGATAAGTCAAGTTAATCAATAAAGTTGAGAGGTTTATACCGACACCGATTTCTTTGGCTTCATTGTTCTAGTTTGAGCAAACTTAGGGTTCTTCATCTTGTAGAGTCCTAGCAAACAATTAAGTTGTGATTGCTTGGTTGTTTGTGAATCTTGTGATCTTAGGTGTTCAAGTGCAGGTCGACTTGGAGGTCTAAGGCCGACAAACGAAGGAAGATTTATCAAGTGAAGATTGTCGACATACACATCTAGAAGTTTGGTGATTCAAGTTGATCTTAGGCGGGTCTCTAAGGTGGATTTGGACCAATTACAACTAGATTCGTATCAATTGGTAATCAGAGCTTAGGTTTATCATCTTCTATCGGTAAATCTATCTTTTACTCATCATCATTCATCCCATCGATTTCACCCACACTCATCGCACCACCTTCTTAAAAAAATTCAAAAATTCAGAAACTTAAAAAATTTATAGCCGATTCATCTTGCATTGTTTTGCTTTGAAATTTCATATTTGAGTCCCTCATAACTAGTAGTTATATCGAAAAATATAAAACAAATAAAAAAAATAAAAAAAATTTCGACCAGAAACTTGTGATTTTTGTTCTGGATTCGTTTGAGCTCGGAAAGCTGTGAAATTTGAGCTTTAGCCTTATTTTCGTGTGATCTTTCTGGGAAAAATATTGAAAAAAATCAAAAAAATCTGTGCTGTTATCGATTTTTTCCAGGAACTAGGGTTCTTAGTTTGGGAAATTTGGGTATTAGGTTTTCTTGTGCAATTGATCTAATTAGTTGCAATTAACTCTAATTGTTTGTGTAATTGAGATACTTGGATTGCTTTTGCTGTTAATTGTGATTTAATTTGAAGAATTTCAGGTTACAAACCCTATTGGATTCAAGTGGTACAAAATAGGAGACAAGTGGTACTAGGGTTTATGCTAACCGATTTGATATTGTGATTTGTGCTTGAATTGAGTTTTTGTGCAGCAACCTTGGAGAAGAATTTCGATATCAAGAACCTGCATTAAGTGGTTTGGTTTGGTTTAAGATCACTTTTCTTTTGATTCACAAATAACTTTGCTACTAATTGTTTGTTCCTCAAGTAGGTCACGAGAAGAAAGGGGTGCTCTAGGAGTTGCTCTTATTAGGCCTATTGAAGCTAGTAAAAGGAAAATCTTGTGAGATCATTAAGAGAGTAGTGGACTGCCAATCCATAGGACTTGAGTACAAACACGAGAGCACAAGTTCAAAGGTATAAGCACACACACACTTGTGAGGATTTTTATTACATAACTTTTGTTCTTTTTGTAGATACAATGGGAGATAGACAAGAAGAGCAAAATCAAGGAGAGAATACAAATGCCATGTTGCAACAAATCATACGACAACTTGGCACCATGACAACAAGATTGGAGGCATTGGAAACTCGAAATCCACAAGCTCAACAAGGAGCTAATGCCGCAATCAACAATGAGGATCATCCTCCACCACCGAGGCAAATTGCTAGAATCGATCCCATGGAGAGACTAAGGCAACAAGAACTTGGTGGACAAGCTCACAATGAAAACATGCGGCCTAAGAGGGGAATTGAAAGAGAGGAGCCTAAGGACAACATCAAATACAAAATCCCTAAATTCAATGGGAGAGGGTCTCCATCCGATTATTTGGAGTGGGAGTCGAAATTGGATATGTATTTTGATTACTATCCTCATGCCGAGCCAAAGAAGGTACAAATTGCTACTCTTGAATTCACGGAGAATGCTTTGAATTGGTGGAATCAATTGGTGCAAACAAGAAGAAGAAACTTGGAAGGGCCGATCAACACTTGTTTAAGTCTAAAGAGTTATATGAGGAAGAGGTTTGTTCCAAGCTTTTACACTAATGGTCTCTACCAAGAGTTGCAATCTTTGAGGCAAGGAACTAGGAGTGTTGATGAATATTACTCTGAGATGATGTTGTTAATGTCAAGGGCCGAGATCGATGAAGCTCCACAAGCTACTATAGCTAGATTCTTGGCGGGAATGAATAGAGAAATTCATGATATTGTGGAGATGCAACAACACTATGAGGTTGAGGAATTGCTTCAACATGCTTTGAAGGCCGAAAGCCAAATAAAAAGGAATAAGAAGAGCTTTACATCATCATCATCAAGCTCATGGAAAACTCCAATCAAGAAGGATGACAAGTCATCAAAGGAAAAGGAGTCTGCGCAAAAGGTTATGACCCTTAAAACCGATTCTAAATCTTCATCTAGCTCATCTTCTAAAAGCTATGTAAAGTGTTTCAAGTGTCAAGGATATGGACACTTTGCAAGAGATTGCGTTAACAAGAAAGCCATGCTTACTAATGACAATGGCGAGATTGTAAGTGAAGATGAATATATTGCGCTTGGATCAAGTGGTGATGGAGATGATGAAGAAGAAGATGCGCATGATGATAGTGATGATGGTGACGGTTTTGCACTTAGAAGTTTAGTTGCTAGGAGAACTTTGAGTGCTTATGTGAAAGATGATGTGAACAACCAAAGGGAAAACTTGTTTCATACTAGGATGTATGCGAATGGGAAGCCTAGTAGTGTGATTATTGATGGTGGGAGTTGTACAAACATGGCTAGTGTTTATTTGGTGAAGGAGATGCAATTACCCACTACAAAACACCCTAAACCTTATAGTTTGGGTTGGATCAACGATAAGGAGGAAATTAGGGTTAACAAACAAGTTTTAGTTTCTCTTTGTTTGGGCAGGTACAAAGGAGACGTATTGTGCGATATCTTACCCATGCAAGCATGCCATGTACTACTTGGACGACCATGGCAATATGACAACAAAGTTCAACATGATGGTGAGACGAACCAATATACTCTCATGTGTGGTAAGAAGCCCTTTAATTTTATTCCGTTATCACCTCAAGAGGCTTTAAAAGATCAACTGAAATCGAAAGGGGAATTTGCTAAGCTAGATTCGGAATTTAGGGCTAAAGAGAAGACTAATCATGCTAATTTAGATAAGAATTGCGATATAGTCAAGCATGCTAGTTCTAAAAAGGTTAGTAAGGAGTGTATGTTAGCTACTAAGATGTGAGATTAAAGAGGCTTTGAATGATAATTCTGTTTTGATCTTGCTTTTGCTTAAATATACACTTGTGAGCACTAACCACTTGGAAAGCGAGCTTCCAAGCAAAATTGTTTCTCTTTTGAGTGATTATGTAGATGTGTTTCTTGAGGATATTCCTAGTGGTTTACCACCAATTAGGGGAATTGAGCATCAAATTGACTTCGTCCCTGGAGCGCAAATACCTAATAAACCAGCTTATAGAACAAACCTTGAAGAAACAAAGGAATTGGAGAAGCAAGTTGGTGAGCTACTTCAAAAAGGTTTTGTGCGTGAAAGCCTTTCTCCATGTGCCGTTCCTGTGTTGCTTGTTCCTAAGAAAGATGGGACTTGGAGAATGTGTGTTGATTGTAGGGCAATAAACAACATCACGGTAAAGTATCGTCACCCTATTTCTAGATTAGATGATATGCTTGATGAATTGCATGGTGCTTGCTTATTTTCTAAAATTGATCTTAAGAGTGGCTATCATCAAATTCGCATGAAAGAGGGTGATGAATGGAAAACTGCCTTTAAAACTAAATTAGGGTTGTATGAATGGTTAGTTATGCCTTTTGGATTGACTAATGCACCTAGTACATTCATGCGATTAATGAATCATGTTTTAAGAGCTTTTATTGGCAAGTTTGTTGTTGTTTATTTTGATGATATACTTGTGTATAGCCGAAACCTAGATGAGCATGTTAGGCATCTAAGATGTGTGTTAGATGTACTTAGGGTTGAGAAATTATATGCTAACCTTAAGAAGTGCACCTTTTGCACAAACAAGCTTGTTTGCTTGTTTTTGTGTTTTCATCGCAAGGTATAGAGGTTGATGAGGAAAAGATCAAGGCAATCAAAGATTGGCCAACACCAACCAACGTTGGACAAGTGAGATCTTTTCATGGACTAGCCGGATTCTATAGGAGGTTTGTTAAGGATTTTAGCACCTTAGCCGCCCCTATTACAAGTGTTATGAAGAAGAATGCACCATTCAAGTGGGGAGATGAACAACAAGAAGCATTTGAGACGTTGAAGGATAAACTAACTAATGCTCCTTTGCTTGTTTTACCTAACTTTAACAATACTTTTGAGATTGAATGTGATGCATCAGGGGTTGGAATTGGAGCTGTTTTAATGCAAGGTGGGAAGCCCGTCGCATACTTTAGTGAGAAATTGAATGGGCCTGCATTGAACTATCCAACCTATGATAAAGAGTTGTATGCTCTTGTGAGGGCGTTGCAAACTTGGCAACACTGCCTTTGGCCTAAGGAATTCGTGATTCATACGGATCATGAGAGCTTGAAGAATTTAAGAGGCCAACAAAAGCTAAACAAGAGGCATGCTAAGTGGAGTGAGTTCATCGAGAGCTTTCCTTATGTTGTGCGATACAAACAAGGTAAGGAGAATGTGGTAGCCGATGCGTTATCAAGGAGGGCTTTAATTAAAAAGAACTTAAGAACTTGGGAGGATTGTCTACCTCATGTCGAATTTGCATATAATAGAAGCATACATAGCACCACTGGATGTTCACTTTTTGAAACTGTGTATGGCTTTAATCCTTTAACCCCAATGGATTTGTTGAGTTTACCTTTGAGTGTGCAAGTCGACATGGATGGACAAAGGAAGGCCGATTATGTTAGAGAACTTCATGCTAGGGTTCGTGCTCAAATTGAGAAAAAGACACAACACTACATGAAGAATGCTAACAAAGGGCGCAAGGAAGTCATCTTTGAACCCGGGGATTGGGTTTGGTTGCATCTAAGGAAGGAGAGGTTCCCTGAAAAGAGAAAGTCTAAGCTCTTACCTCGTGGAGATTGTCCATTCCAAGTCTTGGAGAGGATCAACAACAACGCTTACAACGCCTAGCGAATATGGCAATGTAAGTGCTACTTTTAATGTTTCAGACTTATCCTTGTTTGATAGTGATGCAGATTTGAGGACAAATCCTTTTCAAGGGAGAGGGGATGATGCGCCAAGGGCTTATCATGGCTTAGAAGGACACATTGGAGCCAATGAAGATCATGGAGATGTCATCGATGCTAGCTTGGAGGAGCATGGGGATGGAGGCGCGAGTGACCGGCCACGCGACTTGGAGATGCCCGCGCAACACCGGCCATGCGACATGGAGATGCCCGGCCATCACCGGCCACGCGACATGGCCATGTCCGGTCACACCCGGCCATTTGACTCGGCCTTGCCCGGCCACAATCGGCCACACGATCCTTTGTCTATGCTGTTGGGTCCAATCACAAGGGCTCGGGCTAAAAGGTTTAAGGAAGCTTTGGTGGGCTTTATAAGATCTCATCTTGAAGGATTAAAGACCATTGAAGACTCATTGGGCCGATTTGAAGATCACACAACAAGGAATATTCCAAACGATTCCATGTTGTGCACCATGTTATCCATCGATGAGCATTCGGCTTAATATTGTGTAATTCGGCCATTGGGCCTTTATTCTATCTTAGATTCGTTATTTATTTAGTTTAGAAACATTTGGTTGGGCCTTGTTTGACTAAGTCCAATCCTTGCTTAATTAAGTTATGTATTTACTTTTCCTAGTAGGACAAGGAGTAGGCTATTTCCTTGTTCCTTCCTTTATGTAATGTTTTCCTTTTAGTTTTAGGAGAAGGGTTATGCGTTCCCTACTACTATATAAAGGGACCATCCCCCTCTTGTAAACACAAGTCAAGTTAATCAATAAAGTTGAGAGGTTTATACCCACATCAATTTCTTTGGCTTCATTGTTCTAGTTTGAGCAAACTTAGGGTTCTTCATCTTGTAGAGTCCTAGCGAACAATTAAGTTGTGATTGCTTGGTTGTTTGTGAATCTTGTGATCTTAGGTGTTCAAGTGCAGGTCGACTTGGAGGTCTAAGGCCGACGAACGAAGGAAGATTTATCAAGTGAAGATTGTCGACATACACATCTAGAAGTTTGGTGATTCAAGTTGATCTTAGGCGGGTCTCTAAGGTGGATTTGGACCAATTACAACTAGATTCGTATCACCATTGCTGATCTTGGGGCTTGAACTTGGAGATCCATTGAATGAACTGCTGAATTCATTTATGCCAACATCAATTTCTTTAAATATGTTTGCATGTTGAGAAATTTATGTTACTACTCTTTGGTTCCAGAGTTTACAAAAGTCTTTGAGGAAGTCTGGTACTAACTTAAAATGTTTTTCAACCATTGAATTTGTTGGAAAGTTGGAAGCTCCTTTTGGGAAAATACATGGTTACAGGCATCATATAGCATTTGTATTTATCTTTTCTCCATTTTCGAACTGAGGAAAAAAATTCTTCTCTTAAACTTCACAGCTATAAATCATCATGATTATAAATTAAGAGGGAGTTTTAAAAAGAAACTGGTCGAATAGAATTTCATTCAGCTACAGACCAAGAAGCCGTCTATGGTAAGCAAATTTTATTTTCTAATTAATTTCCTGGCTTTTACTTTCTTTTGCACCATATTTGAGTAACTCAAAATTATATCAGCATTTATAATTGGATGAATGGTTCTGCTGTTTATGCGATTCTATGTCTACAATTAAGAATATTCATATCTTAAGTTTCTAGCAAGCCATTACTCATGGCATATTTTAAGTCCTTTTTAGTAGATGACCAATCAGATTCTGTATATAGTTGTTTATTTGCATAACCATTATTTTTTATTCAATAATAACCATTATTTTTTATTTACATGAATTTTAGGACATGTATCCAGAATCATTAAACTTGGATCATCATGAGATTGAGCATGAGATTGAAAGTTCAACAGCCATCGAGGGTAACAGTGGGAGTGGGACTAAAGTTAGGAAGCAATATAGCAAGGTTTGGAAAGACTTTGATGTGATCGAGCGTCAGGGGAAATCTCCAAGTGAAAAGATAAGAGCCATACGTAAGGACTATGGTAAAGATTATGATGGGCAGGCCAGATCAGGTACTTCTAATCTTAAACGCCATTTAGAGACTTGTCCTAAGAATCCTAATAGGATAGAAGAAGGTACTGCAAAACTTGATCAGAAAATTTTTCGTGAATCAGTGGCTTTGGAGATCATAGAACATGGTCTTCCATTCTCATATGCTGAATATGAAGAGTCTAAGAGATCAAATAGAATTCTTAATCCTAATGTTAAATTTTTTAGTAGGAACACGTTTAAAGCTGAAGTGTTAAAGGTTCATAACAAGCTAAAGGAGGATCTTAAAACTACTTTGCACAAGGTTCCTAGTAGGATTTGTTTAACAAGTGACATGTGGACATCATGCCAAAATAGAGGGTATCTTAGTCTTACTGCTCACTATGTTGATGAGAATTGGAAGTTGTGTAGTAAAGTTTTGAACTTTTGTCATGCTCCACCTCCTCAGAGAGCAAATAATTTGCATGGTACTATCCATGGTTTGTTGAGAGATTGGGGTATTGAGACGAAAATTTTTACTATTACTTTGGATAATGCTAGAAATATGGATAATATGTAAGAATTGTTGCGGAGCAAACTTGTTCAACAAGATGGTTTGTTGTCTCGTGGTGCATATTTTCATATTCGTTGTTCTGCACATATCTTGAATTTAATTGTTCAAGATGGTTTGAAAGTTCTTGGTGATGCTTTGGAGAAGGTAAGGGAGAGTGTAAAGTATGTTGAAGGTTCGGAATCAAGGTTGATGAAATTCAAAGAATATATAAGACTAGTTAATTTAGATCCCTCAAAAGGGTTATGGTTGGATGTTACTACTAGATGGAATTCAACTTATCTAATGCTTGAGAGGTTTCTTCATTATGTCAATGCTTTCAAGATTTTGCCAACCGAAGATCCAAACTACTTGATGGAAGATCTCCCAACCGAAGAAGAGTTGCACAAGATTGAGTATATTTGTAATTTTTTTGAAGCTCTTCTATGATATTACTACTTTGTTTTTGGGAGTAGATTATCCCACTGCGAACTTGTACTTTGAAAATGTGTACAAGGTTCGTGGTAATCTCTTGAAAGAAATTGAAAATCCCGATAGTTGTTTGAGAGAAGTGGCTAAAGCAATGAAAGAAAATTTTGATAAGTATTGGAACCAGCATTGTGTTGTGTTGGCTTTTGCAGTCATACTTGATCCACGTTTCAAGTTAAAATTTGTCAAATTTTACTTGAAAAAGTTTGATGATGATTTTGAGAACAAGTCAAAAAGTATTCTTGAAAAGCTTTAAGCTCTATTCAAGGAGTATGAGAGTGTCTCGTCTTCAAGTGGGGGTAATTGTGATATTCAAGGTGGTGGAAAAGAGCTTGGTCAAAGTATTAAAGTGAGTATTATCTTTTTACTTTACATCGGAAACTAGTATTCTTGATGATTTTTTATATCATTAGTACTAAAATGTGTTTATTTGATTATTTAATTTGTTGTCTTAAAAATTTCAAAGCTATGACTCCGATGAGTCTACTTCATCAAACAAGTCACAATTGGAGCTCTATTTGGGAGAACCTAGAGTTCAAATTACTTTAATGCCATATGATGTTCTTGCTTATTGGAAAGATAATTATACTCGATATCCCGAGTTTGCGACAATGGCAAGAGATATAATGACCATACCAATAACAACTATTGCATCGGAATCGACATTTAGCATGGGCAGGAGAGTTGTGAACCAATGGAGAAGTTCTCTTACATGCAAAAAAGCTAAAGCTTTGATCACTACTCGCAATTGGCTACATGGATGTACGAGTAAGATATTTATTTATATTATGGACTTTAGTTAGCAAAAAAAATTTGTGGACTTAACAATAACTAATAATTGTTTTAAATCATAACATTTTTTTTCGCTTTATATGTTAGCTAACAATAATCGGTCCAAAGCAACTCATATTTCCATAAGTTCGCTCTCACAACAAGCTTCCAACATTGTGGATTGAAGCAAAATGAGAAAGTAAATGATCTATTTTATATTTCTTTTATTTTTATTATTATTTACAAGAATTTTTTGTTGCTTATAGAATATTAAATATTGATTATCATATGTCATTTGATTTACAGGTAGTATGGAACGGTTGTTGGGACTTGGGATGTCATGGTGTTTCAAGAAAAAGAACAAAAGAGAAATGGAGGAAGAATGGATTAGTGCATTGTGCATATATATATATATATATATATATATTGTGTTGTTGAATATGTGGCATTACTTATTTACTTAGTAGTTGTGGATGATTTTTAATTTTGTTTATGTATTAATGACTACATCTAATATTTATTTTGTTTTGAGGAACAATTAGTATTAATTTCTATTATCTATCTAATTATATTTATAATGATTTGGACAAACAAAGGTTTTTTAGTTTACATTTTCCTAAGTTATATTATAACATATAATCCATTTTATTTACCTCTTCAAATTTATACAACTTATAACTTATAAATATATTGTATTAATTGAAATTATGAAATATTAATTGGCATTGATTTTTTTATATATGAACTATATTATATTAAAGTATAAAAATTTAAATAATTAGAAAAATATAATCTAATTCTAATAATCAAAAGTAAAACTAATTTGTATTATTTGTAATCAATATTAATGGTATAGTTTCAAACTTTCAACTTTCAATCAAAGACTAAAAAAAATTAGCAATAAATATCATGAGATTGAGATTTGATGTGGTAAAATACTAAAATTGGATTAAAACTATCAAATATATAGTGTTTGTTAATTAATTTACAATTTTTAGTTTTTACAATTTAAATATATATAACTAATTCTAATTCAGGTCATTTCAGGTTAATCTGTTGATAGGGTTCGGGGCATTTTGGGTTCTAGAACCCAAAAATTCGGGTTGCTTTGGGTTGGGTCAGTTTCGGTTTCGGGTTGAGCGGATTGGGTTTGTTGACTTTTTTTGTCAAATCGGGTTGGGTTAGGTTTGGTTTTGGGCTGTCCGGTCGGATACCCGCAGTCGGGTCAGCTTTTGCCAACTCTACTGATTTTCTAAGGCTGCGCAGAATCCAAGTCCAAGTAGGAGAAGGGTTGTGGCATTGGGCATCAGGCAAGGCAGATGGCACACGCGGTGTCACGGACTAAGTCTTTTCTCGCTTAAGACTCGTCCGTGTAGCACTTGAATGGGCTCTCCCGATGAAGTCAGCTAATCCGATGTTCGATCTGAACAAACAAACATTAAGCCACAAATATTAGTAAGGGACAAGCAACATAACCCCGGGGCATAGCCGCGGCTAACCCCGGTAATCCCCTCCACTCGGAGAGGGAAAATGGTTTATTATATTAATAGTGAGTTTACAAAAAGGGTCTCGGGACTTACTAACCTAAGGCCAAAGGGGGCAGCCCTAGGAGGTGTGTTGATACATACCTTAACCAGTGAGACAACCCAATCTGCTGACTGCTCACCCCCCTCAAAGAGCTAAACAAACTTAAGGGCTTTACTACCAACAACCTTTGATGTGTTTGAAAAAGGGAAACGAACTCAAGAGTGGGTTTCCTACGTACAATAGAATTTCTATCAGCTAGGATTTCCTCTACTATGCGCTAGGAAGGCGACTTCATGCAAATTGTCGTTCTGGTTGATTTGCTGCGATTCGGATAGTTTGGATCCGCATGGAAATGCTTCAATTTGTAGACATGGAACACCGGGTGAACCTTCATCCATGAGGGCGGTTCAATTTTATAAGAGGTGTTCCCTACTCAAGCAATGATCTTCACTGGCCCTTCGTACTTGCGCACCAACCGCCGATCTCTCTTCCTCAAGAATCAGAGTTGTTCAAGGACTAACTTCATTAGTACAAGGTCCTCAACTTGAAATTGATGTGGTCTCCGATCTTTGTTGGCCCATCTCTTCATCCGTTTGGAGGCTTTCTCTAAATAAGTCCGAGCAATCTCTGTGTTTTGCTTCCACTCGTTGGCGAAGGTGAAAGCTAGTGGACTCTTTCCCCTATACAACTCCACTGGGGTGTGCAGCAACCTGGGTTGTTGTCCTGTCACAATTTCAAAAGCGGACTTATTAGTAGATGAACACTTTTGAGAATTAAAGCATAATTGGGCCACGTCTAGCAAATGTGGCCAGTTTCTCTAGTTGGCATGTACAAAATGCCTCAAGTACTCCTCCAACAATCCATTGAATCTTTCGGTTTGGCCATCCGTTTGAGGGTGGTAGCTTGTTGAGATGTTTAGCTCAGACCCTATGAGCTTGAAAAGTTCTCTCCAAAATGACCCCGTGAATCTTACATCTCTGTCACTGATGATGCTCTCGGGGACTCCCTAATACTTCACAACATGCTTAAAGATCAAGTGGGTTGTTTCTGATGCGCCCAAGGCTTATCATAGACTTGAAGATGACAATGGAGAGCATGGAAAAGATGTGCAAGGGCTGCAAGGAAGCATGGAGATGCATGAAGATCATGGAGATATCGATAAGCATGTTCCAAGCACCAAGAAGATGCCTATTGGTCCGATGACTAGAGCAAGAGCTAAGAGGTTCAAGGATGCACTCATGGGCCTTTTTCGAACTCATCTAGAAGATATGAAGGTCATCGATGTGCAATTGAAGAGCTTTGGTGATGATTTGAGCAAGCAATCATCCATTGATTCCAAGATCATCACCTTACATGCAATCAATATGACTTAGGGCTTGAATGCATAAATTCGGCCATTGTGGGCTTTATTCTATCTTAGATTAGCTATTTTTAATTAGTTTGGATATTATTTGGGTTGGGCCTTGTTCAATTAAGTCCAATCCTTATTTAATTCTGTTAAGTTGTTATTTTCATAGTTTGACTTGGATTAGTTTTCCTTGTTTTATATTTTGGGCTTGTTAGGCCTTATAGCCGCCCATATGTCTTTAGGATTAGGTTAATCTCATTTCCTATGCCTATTTAAGGGGATCAATGTGATACGAATCTAGTTGTATTAGATTCAAATCCACCTTTGAATATCCACCAAAGTCGACTTGAACTTCTTCAACTTCTAGACTTGTATGTCGATGACCTTCACAAAGCTATCCCTCTTCTTTCGTCGGCCTTAAGCACTCAATTAGACCTGCAATTGAATTCTCAAGATCACAAGATTCACAAACAACTAAGTTATCTCAACCTAATTGCTTGCTAGGACTCTACAAGATGAAGAACCCTAAGTTTGCTCAAACTAGAACAATGAAGCTAAGATAATCAATTTGGGAAAATAATCCTCAACTTTATTAATCAACTTAACTTATGTTTACAAGAGGGGGATGGTCCCTTTATATAGTAGTAGGGGACGCATAACCCTTCTCCTAAATCTAAAAGGAAAACATTACATAAAGGAAGGAACAAGGAAATAGCCTAATCCTTGTCCAACTAGGAAAAGTAAATACATAACTTAATTAAGCAAGGATTTGACTTAGTCAAACAAGGCCCAACCCAATGTCTTCTAAACTAAATAAATAACTAATCTAAGATAGAATAAAAAAGGCCCAATGACCGAATTACATAATATTAAGCCTAATGCTCATCGATGGATAACATGGTGCACAACATGGAATCGTTTGGAATATTCCTTGTTGTGTGATCTTCAAATCAGCTCAATGAGTCTTCAATGGTCTTCAATTCTTCAAGATGAGATCTTATAAAGCCCACCAAAGCTTCCTTAAACCTTTTAGCCCGAGCCCTTGTGATTGGACCCAACGGCATAGACAAAGGGTCGCGTGGCCGGTTGTGGCCGGGCATGGCCGAGTCGTTTGGCCGATTGTAGCCGTACATGTCCATGTCGCGTGGCCGGTGATGGCCGGACATGTCCATGTCGCGTGGCCGGTCTTGTGGCCGGTGTTGCGCGGCTTCTCCAAGCAATGGCCGGTCACTTGTGCCTCCATCTCCATGCTCCTCCAAGCTAGCATCGATGACATCTACATGATCTTCATTGGCTCCAATGTGTTCTTCTAAGCCATGATAAGCCCTTGGCGCATCACAATGCCTCTTGTAAACACAAGTTAAGTTTTTCAATGAAATTGAGGTTTATTCACCTTTGAGAATTTAGGTTCATTGTTCTAGTTTGAACATACTTAGAATTTCTTCAATCTTGTAGAGTCCTAGCAAACAATTAGATAGTGATTATCTAGTTGTGTTTCTTGTGATCTTATGTTGTCAATTGCTGGTCTAATTGATCATCTAGGGCTTACGAAACAAGTTTGGATCTTTGGGAAGACTATCAATTACATCAAGTCTATAGAAGTTGGTGTTTCATGTTGATCTTTGGAGGAATTCAAGGGTAGATTTGAATCTATCTCAACTAGATTCGTATCAATTGGTAATCAGAGCATAGGTTTTCATCTTCAATCGGTAAATCTATCCTTCTATTCATCATTCATCAAGTTCTTGTTCCATTTTCATCCATATCACAAAGTTGAAAATCAAAAATTTAGAAACTTGTGAATTTTATTCTAGATTCATTGTTACTTCGATTGAGTTGAAATTTGAGATTTGGAGTCCTCATACATCAAGGTTATATCGAAAAATATTAAAAAAATAAAAAACAATTCGACCAGAAACTTGTGATTTTTGTTTAGCATTCATTAGTGGTCCGAATTGGCTGAAATTTTAGATTTTGCGTTCTTACACCTTGATCTTTCTGGGGAAAATAGTGAAAATTAAAAAAAAATCGAAAAAGTTATCGGTTTTTTTGGGAGGATTTTTGGGGATTAGGGTTTTGATTTTTGCAATTGATCTAATTTGTTGCAATTAGCCCTAACTGGAGTCAATTGAGAGGAATTGAAAGTGTGTTTAAGGATTTTGGGAAGCTTTTACTGTAATTGAAGTGTTAATTTGAAAGAATTAAGTTTGGAAGCTCATCGATTTCAAGTTGGAAATTAAGTGGTTTAACTAGGGTTTTTAAGAGCTTGAAATTGGATATTGTGATTTGGTTGTTTGATTGTGTTTTTGCAGCAAATTGGGATTACATACATCGACATAAGGTTGCTGCAAATTGGTTTGGTTTGGTTTTAAGATCACTTACCTTTGATTCACATTAAGTTGTTGCTACTAATTGTTTGTTCCTCAAGTAGGTCACGAGAAGAGCTAATTGATCCTTACAAGTTGTTCTTGTTAGGCCTATTGAAACTAAAAGGAGTGGTAAAAGGAAGAATTGTGTGAGATCATCAAGGGTGATTAGAGGGCCGCCAAAGCATAGGTTGAGCGCAAATACGAGAGCACATTGTGGTAATCACACACACACTCATTGTGAGGAATTTTCTTTATCTTTACTAACCTTTTGTGTAGGTACAATGAAAGATAAGGGGGATGGAGAAAATCAGGAAGTAAACATGACTACCATGTTGCAAAATCTAGTGCAAAGAATGGACACAATGTCTACTCAACTTAATCAAAGGACGGATACCTTAGAAGCTCAAAATCAACAAAGAGCTAATCTTGCTCAATTACCACCACCAAGGAGAGGTGAATTGGGAGATGATGCTAGGCAGCCGCAAGCTCAAAGGCAAGTTGTTAGGGGAGGTCCATTAGATCGATTAAGGGAGCAAGAAGCTAGAGGACAAGCTTATTTAGACAACTTGCGGCCTAGAAGAGGTGGTGATAGAGATGAGCTTAAAGACAACATCAAGTACAAGAATCCTAAGTTCAATGGAAGGGGAGTTCCTGAATATTACTTGGATTGGGAGTCAAAGTTGGATATGTACTTCGACTATCATCCTTATGCCGAATCTAAGAAGGTACGAATTGCTATTCTTGAATTTGTTGAGAATGCACTTAATTGGTGGAATCAATTGGTTCAATCTAGAAGGAGAAATAGGGAGAGGTCGATTGATACATGGGCTGATTTGAAAAGTGTTATAAGGAAGAGATTTGTGCCAAGTTACTACATCAATTCTCTTTATCAAAGATTGCAAGCTTTGAGGCAATGATCTAAGAGTGTTGATGAGTACTATTCGGAGATGATGTTGTTGATGTCTAGGGCTAAAGTTGAAGAAGTTCGACAAGCTACTATGGCTAGGTTTCTTGCGGGTTTCGATAGGGAGATTCATGATATAGTTGAGATGCAACAACATTATGATTTAGAGGAGATGTTGCAACATGCATTGAAGGCCGAGGTGATGCACCCAAAAGTAACTCACCACTCACTATTATGAAGGAGGTGTCGTCTTTCGTTTCCTTGTCATAACTGCGGGTGGCTCCTTGATTTCCCATTCTTGCTCTAGACTGCCTTTTTAGCTCATTATGTGGTTATTATGTATTTCAAGTGATGACGATTGAGCTTTGGGGTGCATTTGAGGAGAGTGCGCTTAGGACGAATAAGTAGACATTTTTTCATTTACGTTATTGAACTGCTTCTGCTATCGTTTATTGTTTATTGTTGGAGATTGTAAGACCAATTTCGGTTTTTGAGAGGTTTTATAAATTTTAGACTTTTAAACTTATTGGACTGTATATATGTTGGCCTTACATGCTCATGAGTTTTACTTCATGAGTGTGTGGCGTTGTGTTTCGGACCTGCGGATTCGGGCCGTAACACTCAGCAACTTTCATAGGCTGTTGGATAATTCCAGGCAATGGTTGTGGTTTGTAAGATGGTCAATTGATCCTTTATCCGATCAAGCATCAACCATTATGCTCTAACCAATTCTCTAGCATGAATCCTCCACCATTGCAGAAATGAAACTCCTCCATAAGAAAGAAGGATTTCGCCCCAATTTTGCTTGGAGAAATGATGAATATCTAAAATATTTAGCTATGTCACGCACCGAGACCGGAACATGGCAAACGACCGTATTACCTTGTAACAATGTAAACTGAACCAATACAATGCCACAAGATAATACGAAGCCTTAATCTTATGTAGTATTTAAATCTCCAAATGAGCATAAAAAAATACATTTTCCATCATAATGCAAAGAAAGTAATTAAACTAAGCAAACTAAGCTGATATGAATCTAAAGTGCAAATGCCTAGGATATGCAAAAGAAAATGAAATTAAACTATCAGCAAAGAGCAATTTTTTTGTATTATTGAATGCAATCAATATGCTAAATAGTAAAATAAATCTTATACTAAATGCCAAAGTGAACTTGAAAATGACCTAAGTCACCCTAAATGTATAAATATATATAAACTAATTGGACAGCCCGCGCTTTGCGTGTGGGTGTTCGATTTGATAAATTTTATTAAGAAAATGTTTTTAAAAAATCGAATTTAGATATGATTTTAAGAAAATTCAGTTAAGAAAAGCAATTTATAAGTGCTTTTAAGAAATTTTGATTATGAAATAAAAATCATCAGTTAAGATATATAAAGATCATAAAAGATGATAAGATTCATTTTTTGCTTAATTATGTCTTCACACATGCATTGTTTTTGGGGTGTAAATATATATATTTGGGTTAACTTCTTTGACCGGTTAAAACAAATCTAGGCTTAAAGAGATATTAATACATTGAATCAATTAAAATCACCTAAACTAATAAATGAAAATAAAAATTAAAATAACTGGTTTGTCATATTTCAGCCGGATCCCACATTTGGAATCAATAATGAGTGAATTTGCTTATTGAATAAAGTCATAGACACAATAATAATAGACCAAAAATCACCTATTTAATGAACACAAACATAGTAAACAAAGCATTAGGAAATTTACAATTGACATTTGTCAAATAAATAAAACGCCAAGTGGCGCTCAATGAGGGCCTTGCATATAAAATTAATAGTAGGTATAATAACCTATGTTAAATGATATAAGAGCAAAAACGGGTGTGTACACACTAGCAGAAGAAGATTCGGGCCAACCTCTTGCAATTACTTCCTCGACCCCTTCATGTTGTGTCCACATATTTTCAAATCCAAACTGTTTTTTTTTGCCATGAAGTTGCTAATCTAGAGTGCTTGAAACATGTAGTAAAATTGGCAAATGGTCAGAAACTAAAGACAAGAGATGCTCTTTAAAAGAAAAATTAAACTTTTTCATCCATTCATCAGTGGCTAGGCATATGTCTAATTTAATTTCTCAAACACTTGTTCTCCATTGATAAAACGGCTCCAAGTCATCTTTGGTCCCCTTACAAAAATCGATTGAAAACCACAAGCTTGGATAGTTTCATTGAAAGCTTTTATCTGATTTTGAGGCCTCAAAGCACCACAAAATTTGTTAGTTTGGCAAGTGATTTCATTAAAATCGTCGCAACGCAACCAAGGTAGTTGTGAACGGGATTTCAATGAAGTAAGGAGGCGCCAAGAATCTCTTTTGTTGTTCACAATTGGTGCTCCATAGAAACTAGTAAAGCGCCATGGCTTATGGCCTTGGTTAATCACCTCCACACCAGTATGACTAGAAGAGTAGGAAAGTAAAGTGATACTAATATTAGAAGACCAAAGAAGAGCCAAACCTCCTGACTACCTAACACAATTAACACTGAAGCAGTGATCAAATCCCAGTTTTGCCTTATCATCTGAATTCGTCTTTGTCTCCGATAGAAATACAATAGTAGGACTACGTTTTCTAACCATCCGGTCAATATGTGAACTGATCGGGGTGTCCCAAGTCCCCGACAGTTCTAGAGTAGAAGATTCAATGGGCTCGGCGAGGAGGGCTAGTCGACCCCTTCCTCGCCGTTCCTTGTTCAGAGTGGTTTTGTTCTTCAATTGCAGCAACATCTCAAAGACATTTGGTGGTGGAAGCAGATGATACATTTTCAAAATTTTCTTCACCAGTAATTCTCTTATTACCAGAAATTGAATGCTGAGAAAATTTTGTTTTGAAAGGCTTCTCAAATAGGAGTTCTTCTTAAGGTCAGAGAGTTTGTCATTAGGAAGAGATCCAAAGACAAAAGAACTCTTAAAAGGCTTAGGCAAATGAATGGGATAATATTGATTCTGAATAATATGATGAATTAATTCCACATCTTCTTCACTCGAAATCAACTTCTGTTTTGCCAAACCATGAGAAACATCTGCCATTTTTGTCGAAAGTTCCTTTGTTCAAGCAGTTACCAATTCTAAATTATTGGAACTTCCTAGAACCAAATTAACTGTGGGATGACAATCAGCACGCAAATTTTGTCTGGAAACTGCGTTTGATGTTGCACAATTTTCTCCAATAATTGCCTTTGATGTAGCACAATTTTGTCCAATAATTGCCTTTGATGTAGCACAATTTTCTGAATTCTCTGCACTGTCCTCTGCTTGTGACTTTCGAAGACAAGTCAAACCCATTTTCTGAAATCCACTCCCTTGGCCTATGAAATTGCATCGATGATGAGATACAGCGATAGTAGGACTGCAAAGTAATTGGATGAAGATTTTGGAAGTTCTACTCTAAGCCATGCACCATATTCTCTAATAACCGAACAATTATTCTTCCTCATTGTATAGGCTACCTCGCATTTGCTTTCTTGATAGTTCAAACAGCCATAAACATGATAGAAATCGGGCAGTCTTTCATAGTTGAACATCTTAACACACACTCCATTGCCTGAAATTCGCACCTTTGTTCCTTTTTTGACAGATTTAGTGACATTGAGTGTGACACGAATACGAAGACGTTTACCCCAAGCAATCTTATCACCACAAAGATCAACTTCTTCAACAATTCCAATCTGCTTTCCAATTACAAGGCCAACATTCTCATTCATATATGCTATTGGTAAACCATGGATCTGCACCCAAAACGAGCACCAATCGAGATCAATTGCCTTTGAAACCAAGAAGCCATCAAACTCATTCGAGATATTTAGTGAACGATTGAAACACTATGGCTGTTGCATGCGCCAAGGGCTTATCATGGCTTAGAAGAACACATTGGAGCCAATGAAGATCAAGGAGATGTCATCGATGCTAGCTTGGAGGAGCATGGAGTTGGAAGCACTTGTGACCGGCCATTGCTTGGAGAAGCCGCGCAACACTGGCCACATGACTCAGCCATGCCCGGCCACCACCGGCCACATGACTCGGCCATGCCCGACCACAACCGGCCACATGACTTGGCCACAACCGGCCACATGATCCTTTAACTATACCGTTGGGTCCAATAACAAGGGCTCGGGCTCAAAGGTTTAAGGAAGCTTTAGTGGGCTTTATAAGATCTCATCTTGAAGAATTGAAGACCATTGAAGACTCATTGGGCCGATTTGAAGACCACACACCAAGGAATATCCAAACGATTCCATGGTGTGTACCATGTTATCCATCGATGAGCTTTAGGCTTAACATTGTGTAATTCGGCCATTGGGGCCTTTATTCTATCTTAGATTAGTTATTTATTTAGTCTAGAAGACATTGGGTTGGGTTTTGTTTGACTAAGTCCAATCCCTGCTTAATTATGTAATGTTATTTACTTTTCCTAGTAGGACAAGGAGTAAGCGATTTCCTTGATCCTTCCTTTATGTAATGTTTTCCTTTTAACTTTAGGAGAAGGGTTATGCGTCCCCTACTACTATATAAAGGGACCATTCCCTTTTTGTAAACGTAAGTCAAGTTAATCAATAAAAGTTGAGAGGTTTATACCCATATCGATTTCTTTGGTTTCATTGTTCTAGTTTGAGCAAACTTAGGGTTCTTCATCTTGTAGAGTCCTAGCAAGCAATTAGGTTGTGATTGCTTAATTGTTTGTGAATCTTGTGATCTTAAGAGTTTAATTGCAGGTCTAATTGAGTGCTTAAGTCCGACGAAAGATGAGGAATAACCTTGTGAAGGTCATCGACATACACATCTAGAAGTTGAAGAAGTTCAAGTTGACTTTGGTGGATATTCAAAGGATAGATTTGAATCTAATACAACTAGATTCGTATCAATTGGTATCAGAGCTTAGGTTTATCATCTTCAATCGGTAAATCTATCTTTTTACTCATCATTCATCACATCGATTTCACCCACACACTCATCGCACCACCCTTCTTGAAAATTCAAAAAAATTAGCAACTTTGAAAATTCATAGCCGATTCATCTTACATCTTTTTGCTTTAAAATTTCAGATTTGAGTCCCTCATAACTAGTAGTTATATAAAAAAAATATCAAAAAAATAAAAAAAATTTCGACCAGAAACTTGTGAAATTTATTCTGGATTCGTTTGAACTCGGAAAGCTTTGAAATTTGAGATCTAGACTTATTTTAGTGTGATCTTTCTGGGAAAAATACTCA